GTATTCATTACGGGTTTCAGCTACCAGGAAGCGCTTCCCCCTGCACCGGAAGTGTGAATGGATATTTATTTTTATATTTTTTTTATAATTTTATTTTATGGGGCTTTATAATAACAAAATATTATTGTGTGTTAAAACCTGGAAATGTTGAAAAGACCTCAGTAGTCGGATTTTTTTTTTTAAATTTACACTTCTACCAAAGAATGTGGTTCCTGCAGCACCTCCCAAAAAAACTGGACCAGTTTATCTAATCACGGGCTCTTTTTACTTACTGTTAATCTCTTTCCACAATAGTTCAAGAGTGTAAAATACCTGCTGACTGTTTCTTCGTTAAACTGTCCTTGCATATTTGACATTAATAAATATCTCACACAAAAAGATCTTGTTCAGATCTTTCTGAGAAAAACTGAATTTCGGAAACAAGCGAATATTTCTGTTGTTTTCCTCCTTATCCACAAAGCGAAGTGTTGCATTACTCTCTGGAAATTCTTGACCTTGGCATGTAAAGTTGCAAATTTTGTTATATAAATAACAAACTTTGAAAATATTCCTCCTGTCTTGGCTAAACAAATAAATTGGGTCAACTTGTGAGAGACTCATTAACTGTTCATCTTCAGCATCCACATAAAAATAATGACAATCGATCACGTCTGAAGCTGTGCGATTTAGTGTTGCAAAAAAACCCACACAGTGCTCCCCAAAATACTTTTAAATTAAGATTTTATTCGGCAACGTTTGTGATTTTACACATGCGATTCTGCAGGATTGACAGCTTCACTGAAACTGAAGATTTCTGAGAATACATGTACTAATACCGTGTGCTTTGATATCTTTAATCTAATGTAGACCACAGACATGAACACTCAGTACACTCAGTATGTCACAATAAACAAGCCGGTCTGTCTGAACCTATGCACACAGATCACATAATGCATTTTGCAGAACCCATCTGTATATCTGTGTCAGGGTAAATCAAACCAAATGTGCGTATGTTTAGGTGTGTGTGCGTGTGTGTGTGTGTGTGTGTGTGTGTGTAAGCTGCCTGAGCACATTAGGTGTGCAAAGGCAGATTCTGTGGGGGTTCTGCAGGCAGATTATTTTGGGCTTCAGCTTCGGGCTCAGCTGGAGCTTTTGCCTCTGTGGGAGAAATATGAAAAAAATGAATGAATTAAAACACAAGCCAAAGAATGTAACAACAATGCTGGATATGTCACAGTCAGTTTACCTTTATCTTCAGGTTTCTGTGTCTGTGGCTGAAACTGTAGTTCTCCATTAGGACCCGCAGGAGGCTGCCCATCCACTGCCTGCTGTTCTTTCTGTCGCTGAGACATTTCTAATACAGCCTGCCATTTAAAAAAAGAAAAAAAAAAAGAATTAACTATTTTTTAAGTTTCAGATGATGTAAGAAAGTGACCGCCAGGCTAGGATCGTTACCTGCTGGTACTCTCTCCTCTGGGCCTCCAAGGCTTTGCCTCTCTCCCTCAGCAGCTCCTGCTCCTGAAGCAGAGTCTCAGCCCTCCTCTTCAGCTCTTCCTCCTTGTCCCTGAGTTCAGCCTCAAATCGCTGGAGCTCTTCCTCTGTATACACTGGCTTGTTTTCCAGAGTCTGCAGCGACAACAGCGGGATGCAGATAACGCACTCATCCATCCATTTAAAAAAGAAAACATGTCCCTCCCTCTTCCCAGGGAGGGACATCTCACAGGAGGCATCCTGTTTAGATGCCTCAAGCACCTCAACAGGCTCCTTTAGACACGAAGGAGTTGCCTCCCAAATGGCCAAGATTCCCACCCTATGCATGAGCTTACTTGTAATGCTTTTAACCTTTAGCTTATTTTTTAGTCACTACCTTGGAGCCATAGGTGAGGATAGGAATGTAGATCGACTGGAGATCCAACAGTTTTGCTTTCATGTTCAGCTCTCTCTTTACCGTATCGGACTAATACAGCGTCTGCATCGCAACAAATGCTGCACCAATCTGTATCTCAATCTCCTGCTCCGCACTGTGAAAACACTGGTGAAAAAGACTCTGAGAATTCCAATTCATCCAAAAACTCTGCCCTAACCTGCAGTGGATACTCCACCCTCTTATGGTAGAGAAACATGGGCTCAGAGCTGGAGATATCAATTCTCACCCTAGCCATGGAAGGCCAGAGTGGGATGCTCTGATATCGTCGTGTTGGTGTTGTTCCCAGATCATCATGAAAATGTTGTTCCAGGTTCAACATTGCAAGTGACCAATCACATT